CCCCACGACGTGTCCTCCCTGGAGCTTACTTCCCAAGTGTTCTGGGTTCTCTAGGGTGATTTAGGGTTTAGTTCTCAGTCCAAAGCTGGACACCCAGGAATATTAACCCCATTCTACACACGAGGAGCCCCTTTACTTTCCATCACCAAATCTTATTGCTGAATTGTGTTCTATTTAAACTGATTTATAATAACGCTTGAAAATACCTAACTAAAATTTTTATTTTGTTCATTCTAGTTCCAGTAATCCTTTCATACTCAGTTGAGAATTACATCTAAAATTTTATAAATCAGTTTGGCCTGGTTACCCTAGTGTTTCATATGAGAAGTAATGAAATAGTGACTGAGTCCTATTCTTAGCTTCTCTATGATTTTCCAATGTTGAATTTCATTAAAAATATGTCATTTAGAAAAGAGCTGTAAGTGAGCATGCCCTAAATATAAGATCCCTCATTAGCCCAAATATTTGGTTCTGGTATCTCTCCTTAACAAAATGACACATGAGGATCCCTTCCTTCCTTCCTTCCTTCCTTCCTTCCTTCCTTCCTTCCTTCCTTCCTTCCTTCCTCCCTCCCTCCCTCCCTCCCTCCCTCCCTCCCTCCCTCCCAGTTTTTTCTTTAATTTTTTTGTCATAGTGGAATATGACTAGTTACACACCAAAAGACATCGCTTGTTATTATGAAACCTACGTGAGAACAACTGCATTTGGTAAGCCTCTCGTAAACACGCTGCTTTTTTGACAGAATCACCTAGGTAACCCTAGTTTCTGATTCTAGAAGCAATTTAAAACTTGCTTTACTTAATAGCAAAGAGAGGACTAAAATGAGATGACATTGCCATTAACCATTAACCTGTATCTCCTTTTCAAGAAGGCTTGCGATTTCGCAAATAGCGCGAGTGAGACATGCATCTCTAAAGAACTTAGCTACTCAAGCAGGCATGTCCGTACATTTGTTACCCACGCATCTCACTGCTTCTAATTGGGGGTCACCCAGGTGAAAGGCCCCGCTCCTGCCCCGGAGCACATAACCTTCCCAGAGGAGACAGCTAACACTCACAGTGCAAGGAGTGCTGTCTGCAGGCGGAATCCAGAAAACCCCACCGAAGCCAAAAGAAGGGTGGAAGTGCAGATGATCCAGGTGAGGCGGAGGGAAGGCGAAAGGAGGGATCTGAAAGGCTCAGGAAACGGAGGGAGTGAGGGTTGGGCCCCCCCGAGAGAGAAAACTGCCTTTGCCAAGTGCTGGAGGCCGGGAGCTGCTGCAGGGTGTGGAGAAGAGGCAATAGATAAAGGCGTAAAGTAATGGGGTTTGGGTCACACAGGAGACTGATCACCCAGGTCACACCAAGGAGACTGAACTTTGACCCCAACAATATTTCCAATTTAAATCCTTACAGTTACCGTCCAATAATATAAAGATATTTTAAAATGAAACAGAGTATCAACTGTAAATTTCAGCTGTCTTGGATATTAAACCTTGAGTTATTAGTTTCTCCTTTGAATGAAAAGCTGCCTGAGGACAGAAATTATTTCCTCATCGAAGCACCTACTCCTTTCCAACTCATCTGACAGTGGGCCCACCAGGCATAACTGTGGGCGCATTCCATTGCAAGGCCTTTATCGAGTATTTCATTTCCCACAGCGCTTGGCTGGACATCGTATAAGAACTCTACATGGATCTGTTCTCAGACCTCTCAAAGCTTATACTTTAGGACTTAAGAACAATTATTCTTAATTTTCAGAACTAAAATATCACTGCTCTGTGTGACAGATTGAGAAACAAAGTAATCACAAAAGGGCCATGAAAGCTAATAACTAAAGGAAATAAACGTACTGAAAATAAATCAATGTAAAATTATAAGTGATCAGAATCTTCAGTTGTTTATGATGATTTATTTTATTGAGCTGAGAAATCTATTAACCTTTTGACCCAGGAAGACGGAATTTACTAATGGAGCTGGCGGGGCTCTGCTGCCATTGTCACGCGGATTGATAATATTTACAACATCAATATCACCCTCTTTCAAAATAATGCCAAGCTTTCCATCAGTTTCTGAAGTGGGATGGCGGGAACACCACCGACTGCTCATCTTCCTGTGCGCATGTGACATGGAGCAGGGCGGGAAGATAAGGGGGTGCCGAAAGCAACGCACGAGTGTTTACCCTGAGCCTCGGAGTGCACGCCACAGACCAGCCACGTTCCCCTCACTGGCTGGGCGCCACCTTTGTTCCGAGCAAGATCTCTCTGACTGCGGAGACGACCATCCTGGTCTGCCCAGTAGTTGTAATTCGCAGGGAATCGATTGCTGAGACCCTGATGTGTAAAGTGTGTTTCCTCCCCACAGCCCACCTGCAGGAGCGGCTCCCCCCAGCGGTCAGCAGGCATTAGGAAAAGGGGGTCTTCGGTCAGCGCCTGGTGCTGGGCCCAGTTTTCCCCCGAGTGTGTGACTGTCGGTCAGGGAGAATCTGAAGCCACGATATAAAAGGGGCGCATCTTTCTGCTACTGCGCGCTCAGTAAAAACGTGGAGCGTAGCATGGGATACAATGGATAAAACACATGCACCCATTTTTACGGTAACACGTACAACTGCAAAGAAATTGTATGTTGGCGGAAGTTGGTTTTGATCGTGTCCGCAGAGATTTGGGGTGACCAGTGTGTTCTGACTTTGAGCTTCGCCTCAAGCCTCTGTGACCTCACCAAACAGGAAGCCCACTTATTGTGAAGATTTAGAAAACATGTAGCATAGCTGCCGACAAGCCACGGTGAGCGTTCAGCTGAGCCAGGGTGAGCTTTTAGGAAATATCACTCTGACTCATGCTTCTACTTGCAACCTTTCAACAGCTGCTTCTGCCCTTTGAATAAAGCCCTTTGTGGCTGTGTCTCAGGCTTTGCACTCAGCGAAGCCCGCGAGTCCTTCTAAGAATAATGCCTTAAAATTCACGAAATAAAGCACATCCGATTACAAAGGAAACCCCTCCTGCTGAAGTAAAGTTAAAATATTAACGAACAGACACATTCATGCTGCGGTAATATGTCCACATCCAACAACACGGTGAAGTGCAGGCCCCATAACCACAGCGGTGGTGAAGTAGTGATGCACTAACAATCTGCAGGAGATGTGCTGCAAATGTAACTGGACGTGAAGATACCTCTGATTTGCAGCTGTGAGAGTCACAGGGACTCCTGCTACTACTGGGGATATTTTTTCCCTTTGCCTACGTTCCTGACTGAAGGAAATGCTACATTTCATTCAGGTGTTAGTGAAGAAGAAAATGTATTTTTTCCCATCCAGGTTCACAGAACCTGAATTCCACCCACGGATCCATTAGAGGTACAGGAGCACAGGTAAGGCGCCAATATTCTCCCAGCACTGGCTCCTGCCTCACTCATCTCATCTCATCTCATCTCATCTCATCTCATCTCATCTCATCTCACCATCCCTTCTGCCTACCATACGGTGTCCACACCAACCACTTGCTCTTCAAACACATTCAGCTTACTTAGTCCACCTGCCTATCTGCTTTGGTTCTTCCCTCTGGGATGCTCTGCCCGTGGATCTGTGCATGGTTTCTTTCCTGTTGTCGTTATCTCAGCTCAAATATCACCTCCTCCAAGAGGGCTGCCTGACCAACAACATCTAAAGTGGCCGCCCCTCCCCCCAGCCCACCACCCTGCTTTCCTCATGGTAGTTGTCACTATGGGAAATGACTGTGTTCATACATGTTCTTGTGCTTATTCTCTGTTTCCCTCCGTAAAAAGCGAACTCCACGGGAGCAGGGACTCCTCTCCATGCTCAGTGCCATATCCCAGCATCTAGGACAGTGTCTGGCACAAAGTAGGGGTCTGATGCATCTTTGCTAAGTGAAAGGAAAAAAAGTAAGAACCCCACCAATGTCACTCCTCTCATCCTTCACTGTGTGTTTCAGGTGCTGTTGGGGCACAAAGAGACGAAAGACAAACTCCTGCCCTTAAGTAGTTTACAGACTAGTGGAGGCGGGAAGTGGCCACCTGGAAGGCAGAGAGAGTTCCCGCCCAGACTGTCTCTCTCTGCTGCATGACCAGGGGCAAATCTCTTCTGGGGCCTCCGTCCCCTGATGAATGGGTTCTCCATGGTCTTATATGGTCTATGGTTGATGATCATTAAGAGCTAACAGTGCACAGTAGCCTATGTGGCAAGTGAGGGGTTGTGACTGGTGACCCTAAGTAGAGGACAGTTCAAGAGGAGGACAAGGCTTGGCAGGACTCTGAAATGTAATCAGCCTCCAACAAACGAGGAGGGGGACTGCTGGCCATGAACTCTCAGTGTTGAACAGCTTTACAGGCTACACAGCACGACCCCTAGGCGAGGCTTCGGATATCTCTACACGAGACCATTTCTGAAGATGCAGCATAATACTCCAGCTCTTAGACAGTGGTTCTCAACCTTCTGGCCCTTTAAATACTGTTCCTCATGTTGTGACCCAACCATAAAATTATTTTTGTTGCTACTTCATAACTGTAATGTTGCTACTGTTATGAATCGTAATATAAATATCTGATATGCAGGATGGTCTTAGGCGACCCCTGTGAAACCATATTTTTAATGTTCAACCGCCGAAGGGGTCGCGACCCACAGGTTGAGAACCACTGTCTTAGAGGCAACAGCATGATGGTTAAGAGAATGGACTGTGGAGCGGCACCGCCTGGGTTCAAATCCCAGGTCTGGCGATGACTACCTATGTGAATTTAGACAAATTACTTCTCTGTCTCAGCCCCTCCTCTGTGAAATGAGAATAACAACAGTATTAACTTTATGGGCTTATGGTCAAGCTTAAATGAGAAAATGAATTAATATGCTTACCAAAAATTCAGTAAATGGGACTTATGATTCCATTGAATGGTTTCCTAGTGTGTCAAACTTACTAAATATCCCCCCCAAACCATTTTTCCCTTCTTCCATTCCAAGTTGCACCAGCTAAGGACTACGTCATCCAGTGTGGAGCTTCTGCAACTTGATCTTACCTTCTCCTTGACATTCACATGAGGATTGAGTTCAGCCATCTTGGTTCTAGTGGAATGAGCCCTGTAAAGAAGGGGGAAAAAGATTAACTTTAAAGTTTTAAAATTGATTTCCCAATGTGTTATTTTTATGCTCTCTTCCAACCTAGTAAACAATTTCACTCTGACATAATCATAAATACCGTTGTGGAATGTAAAAATACTTTCAGCAAAGCACTTGTCTTATATATGTTCTAAAAGCAAGTTACGATAACTCTAGAAGAAAACGCACAATATTTTATTCATACTGAATTGACATGAAAAATGACAGACAGGTGGCTATGCACCCAAACTGAGTTTCTTCTTATTATGCAAAAGAAAGGTGGTCAGAGCAGTGAGAGGAGGAAAAGTGTACCTACATTAACTACGCATTGTCTTACAACCCTTACCGTCCCAAAGCTTTTATCAGCGGATAGGTAATATAACAAATATTTAGTGAGTCTTTCCTGCATACCAGGTATATTTATATCATGCACTTAAGGAAGGAAGAAACAGGAGAAATGATTCCAGATTTAAATATAAGAAACACTGCATATAATGGAGTTAAAACCTGCTTTTTCACTTACCAACATATCATGAACATCCATACCTTTACCATATTTTTAAAAAAATATATTTTTATTGATTTCAGAAAGGAAGGGAGAGGGAGAGGGAGAGATAGAAACATCAATGATGAGAGAGAATCATTGATTGGCTGCCTCCTGCATGGCCCCCATTGGGGATCGAGCCCGCAACCCAAGCATGTGCCCTTGGCCGGAATCGAACCTGGGACCCTTCAGTCTGCAGGTCAACACTCTATCCACTAAGCCAAACTGGCTAGGGCAACCATATTTTTAATGACCATAGATTCATGCTCCTGAGTTTCAAATGGACCCTTACAACTGCCCATAATCCTTCTGTTTCCCTAACTCTTAGTTTCCTGACTTGGGTGTCCAATCTTCTCTGGGAAGTGACCGGTGCTGAGATGTCTATTCTTAACATCGAGCTCAGGTGTTCTCTTCTCAACTGCTCTAAGTCGTTCACTGTTATGATGGAAGCTAGATCTTAAGTCTTTAACAGTTTCGATCTCTTTTTGAAATAGCATATAAATGACTTAAAATGAGTGAACATATTGGTTCAGATTAGCAGCTAGACAGGCTAAGATATCAATATACCACCTACTTGCATACTTATGCTTTTTGTAAATCAAGAACCACGGAAATGCTTTCCTATATTCTTTTTGTCTTTTGACAAAGAGTGTATCTAGAGTTGATACATTTTAGGGATAACTTGCAAAAATTCTTGGATTTCTCCCTATCCCTTCCTTCTTTTCTAATCCTCACCCGAGGACATATTTATTGATTTTAGAGAGAAGAAAGGAGAGAGAGAAACATCCATGTGAAAGAGAAACATCAATCGGTTGCATCCCATCCGCAGACTGAACCCACAACCTGGGCATGTACCCAGACCAGGAATCAAACTGGCGGCCTTTTGGTGCACAGATGGCGTTACAACCAATTGAGCCACACTGGCAGGGCCTCATCATTTTCTTCTAAAACTAGATCTTAAATAAACTATAAATTCCGATTCATTACCTTTTGTTGATTTTAGGACGAAAGCTTGGCAATATATAATCTTAACGCTAGTAACACTCAAATAGGAATCCTTATAGATATACTATTATATATTACCAACTATTAGAAGCAGTAAGATTTTCTTTTTATAACTTTCCACATGATAGAGCCACTGACAGACATACACGTGGGCATGGTGGCAGGAGAGACCTGCATACCCGATCCCCATGAAGGCAGCTCCTTCCCATACGCTCTGCTAAGGGTGCCCATCCCATTAAACACACCTCCCTTGTAAATAACTCCCAAATGGTACATTTCATATCCTCTGACTTGACATATGGGAGAAAGTAAATAACGAGCTGGCAAGGAATAGCGGAACTTCATCCTCATTTATTCCTGCCCCTGAGAGTTACTAGTAAAAGCCAACAGGATTATTTCCTGATTATCTGTATCAGTGAACAGAGATGACATGAGGCACAGGGACAAGTAACCAGGTGTTTCTGTTTAGAAGCCACACAGGAGAGGCAAAACCTCTGGTCAGTCATCACACTGCCCACAAGTCGGCCTCCAGTCGTGCTGTTCGATGACATGTGGGTGGTTGATTTTCTTCTTTACATGGGAGTTTAGGCATCATGTATACAGTTTATATTTTTGGTGTTTTTCTGTGTATTATAGGGTATGTGGGTGTGCAAGAGAATAAAGATGGGGGAGGAAGGGAGAGAGGGATGGAAGGAGGAAGGGAACCAATGAAAGAGAGAGATACAGGTTAAACCTATGAACTATAAAGGTTCGAAGGTGATGGCGGGATTTGGCGCTATTTCTTAGGATGGATCTGTGAGCCACATTCCTTTCATTAGACTAGATTAGCTAAATCTTTTGGAGACATCTAATCTTGCCTTTATAGGTGAAAACTGAGGGAAGTTTTGTGGTTTTTGGTTTGTTTGGATTTTTTTTTTGCTTTGATGTCTAGGATTTGGGTGTGTGGCGTTTTCTAAAGCTAGAGCGTTTTAATCCACAGAGGAATCAGGGAGGAGTTTCTGAGATCTGAGGAAGTGGAGGGACTGTATGGTGAGCTATATTCATAGGGTAAAACAAGGTGCGTATATGTATATTATCCATAGGAATATACATATATTTCCTTGGCAATTCCCTTTCTCTTTAACCTCAAAGTCTGACTCAGGGCAAGCTCTTTTTGGCACTGATGCCAGTAAGATTAATTACAACATTATTTTTTGTGTGGAAGGAAAATGCTGGCTATGAGGGTAGGATGAGGCTATTACAGGGAAGATAAGATAAAAAATAATTATAGGGAGCTGTTCTTTGCTCATTTTACTCCCTTAAATGTTCTTCTGCGTGGAGGGCTGCTTCTCCAGGCCCCACCTCCCCGTGACCTCCAATGCCCTCTGCAGTCCAGGCTTCCTGCAGGGGGGGACACAGAGGCCTGGGAAATCCGCCCCAGCTGTGGACACTAGATGAAGGATTTTAATGTAAAAAAAAAATGTACATTGGGTTTGCCTCAAAGAATTAGGAAGTTAAGTGACTAGACAGTCTAATTGGGTGCTACTATTCAGGACAAATGCTAGGGACACTATGGCACAGGCGGGGTTGATCTGCAGTGTGCCGAAGGGGCTTGCTGGGGTCTGTGGTCCTGTGTGGGCGCCAGCCCCTCAAGAAGACTCAAAAGCGCCCCTCGACCGGCACAGCGCTGCGTGCCCCTTACGTCTCTGGAGCCTCTCCCCGTGACAATGAACCTGTGTGTGAACCTGTGCTGTGCCCCTACTCTTGGGATTCTGGTGTCTACTATGAACTATATCGGGACCGTCGGAGCAACTCAGTCTGAATCTTAACCGTTAGACAGTTAAGGAGCTCTGCCTCTAGGAAACATATTGTCACCTTCCCCACTGACAGGCCCGAAGTTCAGCAACTTCAAACCCCAGTCCTCAGAGTCACAGACGCTGGGTTAACCTGAGACACCTATAACGCTGTGAGTGACAGATGTTCAGACCCAACAGAACTCCTACTTCCCTCCCATCATGCTTGGTTCACCACAGGTGACAGTGTGTCACTCCTGGACATGGGTGATGCCCATATCCCAACAGAGCTTGATCGCAAGAGCTGCAGGTCCACAAGAAGGGACTTCTGGTTTCTTGGGAAAGAATGTGGTTTCTAATCCCTATTATCACTTAAAACTGTTCTTGGAACCAACCAATTACTGAGGCCCAGCTATTCAAATCCACGATACATGTTCCAGGCATATAAAAAAATCCATATACAATTAAATAATCAGAAATGTAAGTCCTGATACTCATGCAACATTTCAATAGCTTAGGTATTATTTGAAATATTTTTCCTCTAAATTATACTTTATTTTTCGGTAATAACATTACCAACATATATAGCTGTCATCTAAGAAAATTGTTGACTGAAATTTTATTTATGAAATAACAGATTAATCTCTTCTTTCTAGATATATATCTTCCATCATCAAAAACATATTAGAAAAAAAATTCCAAAGAAAAGAATTTCACCATTTATCACCGATATATCATCTATACACTTCTCCAGTGGAAAATTAATACACCACAAATACGGTTGCCAACAATCACCTCATGCTCAAAGTTATGCAAACTGAGCTACTCGTTATGCAAATATTTTACTTAATATGCATTAATGCTAGTCATAAAATCTATTAGTCTATGACAAAGACAAATATTCTTTATAAAAACTAAAACTGAATAATACCAATTCTGGCAAATATGTTTATTTCACCATTTCTAATGAATACAATTCAGTGAAGTGTTATATATATGACAATCTGATTAACAGTTTAAAAAAGATATAAATTGATATTTCCCTTGCAATCATTTAAATATAAAAAAGTTAAAACAATGTACTGAAATGCCAAATTACTTGATGACTTCCCAATGTCTGTTTTTCCTCGTGTTTTATTATGCAGGTGGCGATAAAGTTTCACTTTTATTTCTCTGGAAACTATTACTGCTCTTAGATTCACTTTCGTGTTCTCAGGTATGACATCACTTTACTTGAATTGTGAAACCAGAGGAAATACACAAGAAAACATTTTAAAATAATGATTTAAAATAACAATTGCCACACGTATGGTGTACTTATAATGTGCCAGGCAACTAGGGTAGCAAAAGGCTGAAAATTCAACTTAAAAAAATAAAAGGTGTGGGTGTTGTCTCCAATGTACTAGGCTATTTCTCTGTGTGGACAAAAAAGAGGCCACATACTAAACCTGACAGGCTTGGGGGGTGGGGGTGGGGGCAGCCTGGTGAGCCTTACAAACTCGGAGACCAAAGGTTACCGCATAGGCTGGCCTGAACACGACATTCCTAACCAAAAGCGGGTCATGGTGCACGGTCACGTCCTAGGCTTGTAGCTTCCCTGACAAAGACCAAGGTTTACATTAAGTGAGCCTGCCTATGGTCTTCCGGCATCTAGGCATCTA